GCCTAAGTTCGTAGTGAATTTTAGTTTTGAAGGAAGCTCTCTTATGCTCTCTGATAGCATCAATGGCATTAAAGGAAGGATGTCAGGGCTTACATCCTATCCCACCGGCATTTTGTGAAAGGTTCACCTGCTCCTGGTGATGCTGAGTACTTAATGAAGAAGTTGAATTTTCCAGATAGCTCCCCCAAATTATCCCAGACCACCTTACACCCATCTGGCTCTGTCATTATCAGTCCCCCCGGGCCAATATCACATCCTGAGGGTTGTTTGCTGTTCTTGGTTGCACTCTGCTGGTTGTTAATTTTTGAGCTGCTCGTGGTTTCTCCCAGATGATCTCAAACTACCTTAAAGTTATCCAGGCTCTTTACGCTTTTCCCTTCCGAAGCCAACATCCTGTCTAGAAGACCTGTTCCTATTAAACCAGTCCATAAGTTTCTCCAGGCTATCCTATACTGTCCTTGAGCTTTCTTGAGCTACATCCTCCTTGTGCCAAACATTCCAGGGCCTCCTATCTCTCCACTTACCATCATTTCTCCTGATCTATCATCTGCCAAAGTTTATCTCCTCCATGTTGACTATGGCAAATGGTGGAAATGAGCCCTCGTCTACGACCATAGATTCCTCCTTAGGGAACTTAAGAACCCCTTTATTGATTCGGTCTTTGATGATGTTCTTGAAGCCCCAATAGGCCTTAGTGTTGTGACTCCACAAGTAATAGTACTTATAGTATTCCTTCCCTCTCTACTCTTCTTTCGAAGGAATTTTGTGATCAGCGGATAGAAAGATGAAGTTTTTTTAGGGAGAAAATCAAAGATCTCCTCTATTTTAGTGGTGTTAAAGGTGTACTGTATGGCGTTCGGCCTTTGAAGAATCTCTCTTTAGCCTTCCTTATCAGGGTTGGGCATGTGTAGTTGCCAACATTTTTTAATTTTGCCACCACTATGTCAAGGTCCCTAAAGTAGGTTCCTGTCGTAGTCCACCGGCGATGATCCTCTTTTTTGAGCAACTCCTTATATCCCTATACTTTGGCTGCGAGCTCGTAGAAATCTTGAAATTCCATCCCTTAGAATTTCTTTCAGAGCTATATATCCAGTCCTGCTTGTGTCAGTTTGACGAATTCAGTTTCTAAAAGTGACACATGGCACCTGTTCCTCAGTCATTTGAACCTCACTAAGTATTGGTCCGCCTTCTGCCCAGCCCGTTGGGTGAGTTTGTAGAGTTTCGTTATGCTGACCTTTGGCTCTACCTTATAGAACTGTATGTGGAACTTCTGCTCACTTCCATCTAGCTGATGATTGAGTTGTGGGGCAGTGAGGTATACCATGTAAACACCGAGCCCATAAGAGTGTTAGGGAACAATCTCAGCTTTAAGTTGGTAAAGTTCTTATAGTTGGCAATCTCCCCATATTGGATTGTGAACCTCCTGATGTGCTCCAGGGTCAATTGCATTCCGTCTCCTGAGAGTAGTGTGAAGTCAAGGATCCTATATCCCCGAGAGTACGGGTTATCCCTATCTATGTACTCTAGATATGGCTTCGAGAAGGTAAGGTGGTCAATTGGCCTTAGCCTTGGTCCATATATATCTTGAATAGCGTCCCTCAGGGCTTCCACATTCACCAGCTAGTTCAAAGGCACGTTCTGACGCTCCGGGACCATTACCATACCCCTAGGCAACTCGTACCAGGCTCTTGTAAATAATACAAAGGATTACTTAAAGGATTAGTATGAGCAAAAATGTGGGGGTTAAGGATGTCCCTTACAAGTGGGCGGCCCCGAGGGCCAACACCTATATTTATTCCTGCTTGTTGCCCTCCATATGGCCCTGGATTTAAGCCTGCTTTTAGAGAAGCGCTTCTCAATGATGCGGTATGTTCTTCATGCCATCATGCAAAGCCTACATCATGATCTGATGTCGTTCTTTGTCCCTACATTATGACGTTTTCAGGGACAGAGCAAAGAACCTTTGGTTCTCTTCCAACTACTTATCCATCTGATCTTGAATTCCCTATAGCACTTCTGCCATAGGACCGTTGGATATGATCGTGGGTTTGCTTGTCCACTTTCTGGCTTTGAATCAGGGATTGTACTACTACTTCCTATCGACATCGACACTATGTGCTCACGATGTCCAGCCGCTTCAGCATCAGGTATCAAGTGTTTTGACCCTGCGTGTGCAGAGGTCCCTTCTGGTTTGTGAGAACCAACACCTATTTCACCAGTTTTTTTATCTTTTCTCGTCCTTGCCATCTTTGTTACACAGGTCCCATCGGGCGTGCCAAATATTAATCGTCATGAACAATAAATACCAGGCATGCTAGAGATGCTGAGTCTTAATTGATAACAAAAGGGTCTCGAGCTCCCTTACTACAGTTCACTCAGATGTAAAAGATACATAAGGCTTTGGTAGAACAAGTGTTTGATTTTTATTGAAATGCAAAATGTTACAAGTCTAGATTGAAAGTAAAACTAACTGATAAAACTACAGGCTAAAGGTGTAAAATGCAAGTCTTTGATCGAGTGTTGACTATTTTCTTTTATGTCTTCGTCTCTTATTTATAGTGTTAAAGTGGTGGTAGCCTCTTCTTTAAGACTTAGAATGTTTTGTCGAAGAATCAAAGATCTCATAAAACTCATGGCACAGTCTTTATTCTATGTTCTCCATTTTTGGTAATTAGCCCATCTCACCAGGATACTTGGGCATGATGTCCGTAGATTCTGGCATTACTTGGGATCGTATCTTTACATGCCAACAGTCCAATGTTTTAACAAGTGGGATTTCAGCATGTTTATTTTATTGTTATTGAGCTTTGGGGCTAGCCCTTTTGTTCAGATTGAGCCTGACTCTTCAGTTACTCAGTCCAACTAACTCTATGATCTATTTGAGCAACGTTTCATATTTTAGCCCAAACACTTCTCTTTTTTTTGTTAATCATTTCGTTCTCCGAACTCTGTTTTCAAAGAAGCTAATTACACTATTTTTATGTATCAATTGTATTTTTTGTTATACTAATTGTGTGTGGCTTGTGATTTTTGCAGTGAAAAACCTCCATTTGTTTTTCCTTACATGAATGCATGTCAAGTCCTCCCCATTGACAATTGCCATTTGTTTAATCTGTCCAAGAAGTGCTATCTTTTATCTGTAAAGTGCAAATACTTATATATGTCAGACCAACAAATGTTTTCTATTATATATTGGTAGATTCGTTTTTTATACATTTCCCCTGCTAATGTTTTTTCTAGTATTATATATTTTTTGTTTACTATTGTTTTTATCATTGCTAATTAAATTGTCAACATTACAATATAATGCAATTTAAATAGTAAATGAATCATTATTATATATTTATTTGTTAAATATATAAAAAAAGAACTTAATAATATTATATCTAACATTATCAATGTTTACACCGTAAAGCTCATGTGATAATTTGCATATTTAAAATTAGTTCTAACTAAATCATTCAAATATTTTTAATTATATTAAAATTAATTTCAAAAAAATAATATTTAAATAAATATAATTATATTATGGAAGAATTACATGCAAGTCACACTTAACACAATTAATTACTCACAAATCCATTAACGTCTAAGCCTAGAAGATTGAGAACATATCTCGTAAGCTCATTGATCTAGGAGTAATTAATTGTGTTGAGTGTTAAAGTAATTTTTCCTTATATTATAACATAATTCATTATAATAAAAATTAATTATATTAGTTAATTTTCTTATAATCAATTATATCCCATTGAACAAATAAAGACATTCCTCTTCCTGTGCTCCTCATTCTCCTAAACGTGATCCCGAAATCGAAGTCGCATACGGCCTCCCCCCTTGATCCCTCCCTCGTCCTTCGGTCCCTCCTCACAAATCGCGGATGGTCCCTCCTCGGCCATTAGCTGCCGACGGCTTGACCTCGCGTTGCAGTTTGATGGACCTCTGCTTGGAAGGCCCCTCAGGAATTTCATGATGGGAATTGCTGCAGCAAAGCGCCTTGAAGAAACCAAGTCCCATGGCTCCCTCGATCTCTAGCTCTAATTTTTTTTCAACTTAATCTGGCTGCCTTTTCACTTCAATTAATTGAATACGATAATCACAGCTGGATAAACGTTATCAGTTAATCAATTTATCTCCAGTACAGTTTTTTATTATTTTTTTCAAGTTCACGAGACCCAGCCAAATCTAGATGGCTCGGTTTTCTAATTCAAGAATCAATTAATGGCGACCGATGTAGGTTTCTTGGAGGACGTTAGGCTCTTTCCAAGAAGCATCCTATGTGATAGAGTATCACCAAAATTAAGTTACAAGGAGCAATTCACAAGTCATCCTCATAATATAATTAATTTGAACCTTTCCTTTTATCAAACATTTGGGTCATACTCATGGTGTGAAAAGAATCGTTGATTAATCCTTATATTATCTCATTATAAACTTTATTTGATTAATTAATTGCAGAATCATTGGTTCGTGCTGTCACCCCATGTGGCTTAGATCGCACTAGTAGACACTGACAACAATTTGATATTTTTAATTCACAAACGAAAGTTATATAAAATTGAAAATTTTAATTATTTCGCAAATTCCTAGCTAGGTGCCTCATCAAGTTTAGAGCAATTTTCTTTCAAAACAATCCGCACAACTTTCTTGAGCGGTAAAAGGAGCCCAAGGAAAGGAGCATTAATTTACTGTCCAGGAAATTTTAAAATGTTCGTTTTAGTCTATATTCAACAATTAATGATATTTTTTTAAGTATATTAGAACTAACCTCCAAAAAAGAATAACACGTTTAATCAACGTAGAATTATATGACGGAGAAAACTTGAAATATTACCATTGTATTTTTTTCCCCCCTACTTACAGTTCTTTCTTCGTTCCAGCTCTATATAAGCATATATATTACTTGAACTTTCTTCCTTGCTTGTTGCTGATCATTATCAAAAAGCCGATCGAGTTCCAGTTTGATTCTTGTGCTTGATCTCCTTTTGTGTCCTTTTTGAAAGATGGCTGAACAAGTCCCATATGGTGTGGCTACCAGCCTGATCAACACGTTGGCTTCATTGGCCTTTACAGAGATCGCATCCATTTATGGGGTCGAAGATGACATTGAAAGGCTGAAGGAAACTGTTGAAGCCATCAAAGCTGTGCTCGTTGATGCTGATCAAAAGCAGCAGAATGATGAACTCATCAAGCTTTGGATAAGGAAGCTCAAACAAGTTCTCTACGAAGCAGATGACTTGCTCGATGAACTCCACACTCAGCATTTGCTACACATGAGGGATGGAAAAGGAAAGGTACGCGACTTCTTTTCATCCTCGAATCCGATTGCTTTTCGCCTCAAAATTGCTCAGAATATTCCAAAGATTCGAAAGCAGTTTAATGATATTGCAGAAGATGTGGCTAGGTTGAATTTAGATCGGGGAGTTGTTGTGATGGGGCATGGTGAGAGTAACTTGAGGGAAACAAGCTCTTTTGTGTACCATGAGGATATTATTGGCAGGGAGGAAAACAGGAAGGACATAATTGAATTATTGCTGAATAGTAATAATGGCAATCAAAATGCTTTCTTGGTTGCTATTGTTGGTATTGGGGGTCTAGGTAAAACTACTCTTGCACAATTGGTGTTCAATGATGCTAGAGTGAAAAACTTTTTCACAAAGCAGATGTGGGTGTGTGTTTCTGAAGTCTTTGATGTCAAAGAACTTGTTAAAAAGATATTAAAATCATTAGTTGGCCGTATAAAGGATGATCACTCATTAGAATCGCTTCAATATAAACTTCAACAAAAATTAAGTGGCCAAAATTTTTTGCTAGTTTTGGATGATATTTGGAATGAGGATGGTGAAAAGTGGCAACATCTGAGACAATATTTAATGTGTGGTGTTGAAGGTAGTAGGATTTTGTTGACTACACGTCATCAATCGGTAGCCAACAACATGGGTGTTAGAATGCCATATGTTTTGAGAGGTTTGACAAATGATCAGTCTTGGACTTTGTTGAAAAGATTGGCATTTGATAATAATAAAGTAATCACCCAAAATCTTAAGTCTATTGGCAAAAAAATTGCTAAAAAATGTGCCGGGGTTCCACTGGGGATAAGAGTCATAGGAAGATTGTTGCAATCAAAATCAAATGAACGTGACTGGGAAGCTATCTTGAAAGGTGACTTTTGGAAGAAGTTATCTGAAAATAATGATTCAATTATGCCAATATTAAAGTTGAGCTATGACAGTTTGACAATTGAATTAAAACAGTGTCTAGCTTATTGTTCTTTATATCCAAAAGATTGGACATATGAAAAGGATAGTTTGATTGAATTGTGGATGGCACAAGGCTTCCTTGGATGTCAAGAGGAGCAACAATGTCTAGAGGATGTTGGTGAAGAGTATATTCATATTTTGTTGATGAAGTCATTCTTCCAAGATGTTGAGATGAATGAATATGGGGAAATACAATATTTTAAAATGCATGATTTGATGCATGACTTGTCCCAATTAGTTGCCGGCTCAGATTATTGCTCAAATTTTGAGGATAGGAAAAATGTTACAAGTAGCCCTATGCATGTTTCTTTTGAACAGCATAACTCCAATTGTTCATTAGACATGATGGGTGCAAGTAGATTGAGAACCATTCTTAAGACCAACAAAGTCTCTGGAATGAGTGATCCATCTAATTTATTAAAGTCCAGGCGCTTGCGAGGTCTAGATTTGTCATTATATAAGATGAGAGATATGCCTGAATCAATAGGTAAAATGAATCATTTGAGGTATCTAGATCTCTCTTATTGTCTCAGTTTGATAAGTTTGCCCAAAAGTATAAGCAACTTAGTCAATCTGCAAACATTGAAATTGCGTGGGTGTAGCAATATGAAATTTTCCATAGATATTGTCACAAAACTGATAAACTTGCGCCGACTTGATATAGAAAATTGTGAGGCCTTCGAAGATGGGATGCCAATCGGATTGTGCAAGATGACAACTCTGCAGAGTTTGTCAAATTTCGTAGTGGGGAATGACGATAAGAAGAGAAAGAAAGCCAAATTGAATGAATTGCAAGAACTTAACCTCAGAGGTACGTTAGTGATTAAGAATCTTGGTTTAGTCAAGGAAGTCAAGGAAGAGTCCAAGGATGTTAATTTGAAAGCAAAGAAGAACCTCATGTCTTTGACACTTGATTGGGGACATATAATAGAGGTGGAGAACGGTGATACTTTGCAATTATTGCGAAACCTTCGCCCTCATCCAAATCTGAAGGAATTGAATGTGCACGATTACTCTGGGGAAAGGCTTTCCAATTGGCTTCTGTCACTTAGAAATCTTGTTGAACTAACTATCTCAGGCTGTCGTAGCTGTGAATACTTGCCAGTGTTGGAAGGATTGATTTCTCTCAAGACGCTATGCATATCAAGTATGGATGCTTTGAAGTACATATGCTATGAAAGATGTTCCTCATCAATGGCAAAAGACACAACTAGCTTCTACCCATCTTTGGAGGATTTAAGTGTGAGTTTTTGTAAAAGATTGAGGGGATGGAAAAGGGAGACAGATGTGAAGAATAGTGGAAGAGATAATGAGAAGCATCATTCACTACCACCATTTTCTTGCCTTTCATCTTTAAAAATTTCACATTGCCCAAACTTGACTTGCATGCCTACCTTTCCAAATCTTGCGAGGCAACTCGAGTTTAGTAACTCTAACACAGAGCCATTGCTAGGCACATTAAAGATGAGTAGGACTGGGCCATCTACACCAAAAGAATTGGATGCGTCTTATTCTCTTTCCATGCTCAAGTATCTATGCATTGAGGAGATAGACATGAATGCATTTCCAGACGAATGGATGCAAAATTTTACCTCTCTTCAGCATCTTAGTATCAAGCGTTTATCAAGTCCAGAAAAACTATTTCATCAAATGCAACATTTATCTGCTACACTTGAACAACTCAGTATTTCAAACATTGACAAGCTTCATTCATTAAGGGCTAAGGACCTTCGTTGCCTTCATTCTCTCAAACGAATCGAGTTTGAATGGATTCTTAAACTCAAGGCTTTGCCGGAGTGGATTTGCGATCTCCAGTCACTCCGATCAATCTTTATTTCTGACTGTGAAAGCTTGAAGTCACTTCCAACACGAATGCGTTGTTGCCTCAATAATTTACATTCACTACATTTGAGTGGAGAAGATATGCCTTTAATGAAAAGATGTAAGAGAGAAACAGGAGCAGAGTGGCCTAACATTGCTCATATTCCAAATGTAGTGCTCGATTTCCGCAATTCTGAACGCGCAAACTTCTGAAGGTAAGCTCAATGTTAAGAAACCATTATGAATATTGAGAGTGTGTGTGTGTGAGAGAGAGAGAGAGAGAGAGTTGTATATATCTACTTTATTTCAAGGATTAAAAATAATTACTCAGTTTTTTTCACCTTCACTCCTTTTGCTAATAAACTTTTGGCTGCAGCTTGCCATTTTTCAAAGAGAAGAGTTCACAGACCATGCTTTGGTCGTTGCATATTTTGAGCAAAGTAATCTACTGCTACTCAATTGGATGATTACTTGTGTTTTGCCAACTTCCTTGTGTAGCCTTCAAAGTAATTATATCCGGCTACGTGGATTATAACATTTCAAAAATATTTAAAAAATTAACGGATTACTTAATGATTACTTGCATACATTTTCTCTGTTTTTACTGCAAATTTAATACATTTTTCCTACTTTACTTAATTTGGTGTCTTTTCTTACCTGATCATAAATTCATGGCTTCAATTTGATTTTGAAAGTTCTATGTAGGTTTATTTGCAATTTATTGTATAATTGTATGCTAATTATTATTTCATAACGCAGGTATTAAATTTGGATGCAGTAATTAAGAGGAAGATTTGTTAGACTCTTGAGCTTACTCATACCAAAACATGCTTGATACTTTCTATGAAGGCAAAGCTTTTTTAATTTAAATACATTGAATGTCATTGGAGAGAATAACAAATCTAGACAGGTATAATAGAAAGAACCCTAGATTTTCAACACAAATATTTTGTTGTTTCCCTTGTTATTATTAATCTAACACTAATTAATTATTGACACTTATCAATAGAAATTTCAGGTGAAGATGGCCATGTTCATATTTGATTCCTGGGATAGTCATGATTACTGCTTTGTAAGTTGTTTTCTTATTGAGATATAATGAAGGAAAATACTTATGATTAAAGCCTATTTGTACAATTTACAGGGTTAAATGACAAATTTGACCTTAAATTTTTTTATTTGGTAATTTTCTTAGTTCTTTTCTATAATTTATGAGATCATTTTTTGTTTTTTTTTTCAACTACCAATCAAAGTTAATATTTGTTGATAGCAGGAGTAATATTGCATCGTTTTGAAATGTTGAAAGGTAATATTGCATCAAAAATGAGTTTAGGGCTTCAAACACTTTTGAATTTATAGTTTAAAGGCAAACTTTCCCTTTAATTAACCCTAATTTATATTATCTAGAGAAATAATTGGGTAAAGAATTATACTATCATGTCTTCTTTTTCTTCACTGATATGTTCTTGTTCAATCTCGGAATTGGATACATGTGACAAGCTAGGAAACTAAATTCCTATAAAAGTTTAATGTAGAAATCAGCTACAATGGATATTATCCCTTACTGTTCAAGCTGGAAAGCCAGTGCAAACTGAACTATAACAATAATATAATTATATCCATGCTTGCTTCTATAAAAGTCTAATGTATTCATAAGGTTAATTCTTAGAGTTATGAATTAGTTAATTAGATTTGGACGCTTAAGTTGCTGTTCGCCTATAATTAGTGGGGAAATTAAATTTCGGAGAAGTCAGCAATTGATAAACTAACATATATGAAATTTGTGGCATTTATGGGGTTTTTTTTTTTTTTTTTTTTACAGGGTGAAGAGCTGATACTTGAAAATCTCAGGTTTCATAGCTTTGGGTGAACAGTAATATCACTTAATTAAATCGAGGAATCTCCATGATGAAGGGTAAAGAGCTTATTGGAAGTTTATGATTGTAATTTTATGAGGACATGCCATATTTATCTTTGTGTTTAAATGTCATTTAAGAATATTGTAAGGACTTTTGATATAGTGGAATTTTTCGGATTTGGTCCCGTGGTTTTTTTCCTCAATATTTGAGGGTTTTCCACGTTAAATCTATGGCGTCTTCTTTATTTGGTTTTTATACATTAATTTTTCATATTTTTAATACATTTGCATTGGGGGCTGAGTTTAAGTAAATAGCAAATAAAAACCATATATAAGATATGTAAATTAAAGATGTTTCACTACTCTACCTTTTTACATATTTGACAATCAAAGACTGAACTTGAAAACAATGTTTCGCCTGAAAACAATGCTTAGTCCTAAATTGTAGAATTTTAATTAACCAAATAAAGAATAAGATAGAATCCATGACATATTCCACTGACTTACCTCACAATTAACTTAATTAATTTTTGGAACTTTTTGAATGGAAAAAATTGCAAACTCCTATTTCTGTATTCCAACAGGCTATTAATATCTTATATTAATAGGTGGAACTTTTTGACATATTCCACACACAAAAATATCTTATATACAGTGTATGTGGATTCCAACAGGCTATTAATAGAGATCAAGCACTCCCTCTGTTATCAAATATAAGAATAAATTAAGTGAATATTTTGTTATCAAATATAAAAGATATTGTTAACTTCCATAAATGTCCACTGTCATATTTACAAAAATGTCCCTCATCATGGATGAAATGCCAAGTTTACATTTTTTTTTTTTTTGGGTAAACAAGTATACATTATTATTGATGCTTTAATACCCTCACATGTCATTCAACCTAACAAACACTTCATGAATAGGGTGGGCCCAAATCGGAAATGACAAAAATGAAATGGGTACTGATATGTTAAAGTACTGAACATTAGTAATTAGTAATGAAATAAAGCTTGAAACTAATTGGCCCAAACTCATGAAAAAAAAAAAATAATCTTTTAGTCATTTAACTTTAACTTACCTATAATTCAGTCTCTCAATTATAACTCACTGTACTCAATCTCTCAACTATAAATTGCTACGATTCAATCATTCAACTTTTGTCTCACTTATAACTCGATCTTTATTTTTTAATTTTTTTAAAAAAATTTCCTTATCAAATAAAAGGATAAAGGAAATGTTCATATTTTGCTCTAAAATATCCTCCTCTTGCTCTTTGACATGGGATCTAAACTAGCATAAAAAAAATAAAGCTAACAAAAGTTGAGAGATTGAATTAAAAGTGAGTCAAAAGTTAAGGGATTGAGTCATAGGCAAGTTATAGTTGAGAGAATGAGTTGCAGTGAGTCATAGTTGAAGGATTGAGTTGCAAGTAAGTTAAAAGTTAAAAGATTAAAAGATTAATTTTATCAAAACAGAAACAAAAAAAAAATAAAATGAACTGGCTTGTGAATGGACTGGAACAACATGCTAGGCCATGTATCACTCATCATGGCCCAATCTAGACTGATTTTGGGAAGAAGAAAATTTTATTTTGGTCTTCCACGAAATATAATTTCTTTTTATTTTTCTTTTATTATACCTCTTTTCAAATATTTACATTAAATCTAATAAGTCACATTTGAGATCAGACTAATCTGAATTGAGTTAGATAAAATCATAAATGCGTCAAAAATCTTGCAACATGTTATTAATACAGTTTGCATATCAAGCTGGGCACTAAGCCTTAGACCACAATGGCCAATGTTTTAAAAATAGGTAAAATAGTAGTTTAAAAGTCAATGACCAACTATGGTCGAGTTAGTTATAATTAAATTAATAATTTTTTATTTTATAGATTAAATACAAAATTAGAAATAGCATTTTGTAAAATATTATTTTACAAATTTAAATTAATATTCAAGAACATAGGTCTTTAAGATTACATTAAATCAGTTTAATATTCAAAAATATACATTTATTATATAAAGCAAATGACCAATCATGCACTTTTGCAAGACTTACCAAGACTAAATTAAAAAGACAAATTTTGAAAAATATATATATATATATATACAGATGAATAACTGGAAGTTTAAAGATTAAAGTGTGTTGTTACAAAAAAATAATTATTGACTTAGGTATAATAAATCAAGAAAAATTTTGGGTAAAAAACAGAAAAAGAGGAAGAGCACCGTGGGAACTGAGAATGTCTATGGGTTTAAAATTTAAATTTTCTGATTCTTGTGAATTACTTTTTTAAAAAAAAAATTGACTTCCCCATCTATAGGGACGGAACCAGAATTTTTAATTATGGGAATATACTGTAATTGAAGAAAAGATATATATATATATATATATATAAAATATAACATGAATATTTCAACATACATATTTATATTTAATTTTATAAATATAGAACCAAAATGTATATATATTTTTATTTTTCAAGTTTTACTCATTAATTCTTCAAAACAAAAAAATTATCAATAATCATATTTGTGGTAAACTTTTCAACAATCTCCTTTTCAATATAAACTATTATTAAATTGGTGAAAAACACATGTTTCATCTTGTTATGAAGTCATTAATCAATAATTTTTTGCTTAGACATTGTTTCTTCATTCCTAAAAAATATGGATTGTAAAATATATTATGTAAAATATTAAAAAGAATAAAAAATAAAAAAATCATAGCACAAATTACATGATATTATATATATATATATATATAAGGCATTGCAAATCAATTGCACAATAAAATAATAAACAATGAAAGAACAAGTCAGATGGAGATTGGGGTGGCTTATTACCTGAACATTGTCATTTGTATTTGCCCAATTGAGATACTGCCAAGGTTATGAGATTGGGATTGTAGCCAAGGTCATCAATTCAACAAGAATGGGATAAAAATAAAGAGAAAGGGAAGACTGAAGCAAAGCATAGAACAATTGCTTTTTTGATTCACCAATTCAACCAAGATCATCACTTAATTGACAGTGAGATAATGAAATTGCTTGAATATTTAATAATGGGGTCACGGCAAATTCTCATACAATAGTATATGACATATATTCCTCAAATCGAATGAGGAAACTTACCTAATATAATATTAATATATCATATTATATTTATATATAAAGAAAACATATTTTTTAGATATTAATTTTTTTAACATTTTATACATTAGTTTATATTCATTAAAAAGAAAATAAGCCTTATATTTAGTTCAAATACACACACAATATATTTGGTAAAGTTAAAAATATATAACTCTTATATTTTATTAAAAAAAATTAAAAAATTAAAGAGGCCGTGATCTCCCGATCCATCCTTATCTCCATCACGGCCTAAGACAAGAGTATGCAATTGGCAAAGTTGTACACCAAGAAAAACTATCGCGCTAAATTATATTTTCCGTTTCACATGAACATACATATCACTTTTCAGTTTTAACTTCAAATATATATATATATATATATATATACACTAAATCAGGATTTATTATTGACACATAAACTGAATTATATATAAGAAACTTTATTGAGAGGAAAAATAAAAAAAGCCAACCTTTGCTTTCCCATCACCATGTGATTTTCTTTGATAACAGGGAAAATGACAAGTAGGTGCCTCATAAAAAAATTAATGTCAAATTAAGAATTTTAATACTGGGATATGAGAGAAAAATGTTTCATTATTCTAAATTTTTTAATCCCCAGAAATCACCAAAAGAAATAAAATATTCACAGGAAATTATTCACAGAGTTTAATTTCGGTTTACTTTGACAACATTGGTTGCTAATAATGTTAATACCCTTCTAAAATAAGTCATGATCATTTCTGAGCAAGTTCTTACTATATTTTCAACATGATTAATAATCATAATTAACATGAATAACTTTGAACAATTGTATTCTATACTAATAGAATCCATGATTTGACATTATTTTGCTTAGGTGAATGAACAAGTTCTAACAAATCTATTTATTTATTTCTCTATAGTTTTGGGTCCCTTCACTGATAAGATTATATTGACCTAATACCTAAATAATTAGATAGATTTTTTCAAAAAAAAAAAAAAAGCTTCAACGTTGACTTGGTTAACCAATTGGAGTTTATTTAGTAACAGAGGAAACCTATATGATTTTATCTTATAGGTAGGACAGCAAATTTGAATTCAATTGTTTACCAATTTACTAGCTAATTCGTATTCGTTGAAATTTTTCTAATAAATTTATTTAGTTCTAGAACAATTGCTTTTAACTAATTAAGTTGCACGTGGATTCAAATATTTATTAATAATACAAATAATTTAATCTTAAAGGAAATTTTTTTCCGTATATTCTGGCCGAATTTTCATCTAAATACATCCTACTGGCTGAATCGTAAATTATGCTTTACATAACTTCCTATCAATCAAAATTTGGCAATGATCCACCAGCGAGCGTTTGGTCTGGTAATAATAATAATAATAATAATAATAATAATAATAATAATAATAATCACTTGCATTGTGACAAACCAAAGTTTAAATTTTTGTTAAAAAAATGTTTATATTTAGTACTATATTTAGTACCCGATAATGCCTCTAACAATAATGTCTCCAATAAAAAAAATAGAATAACAAAAGGGAATTTGGCAATGATCCCGTGCAAATATTCATGATTATCAAGAAAATTATTTATATGTGTAAATAAATAAATTTTGTTGCGCATGATTCGAAGTTTTGAAGACCTGACACTATAAAATATCTATTTAAACCTTAACAAGTTATCTACTCAAATTTAAAAGTTGAGAACTTGAGATGTTTAATATCAGCTTTTGAGTGTCATAAATTTAGACGAGCCGCCGCAAAGTAGCAAAGTTTAATTAGATTCTATATATTTTAATAGGAGAGATTCCATATATTTTAGCTTATTCTGTTTTTGTTGGGAAAAAAAGGTTATTCTGTTTTTTTAGAAAAAATGACAATAAAATTATTTTGAGTTATATAAATGATAATTTGGTTACTTGAAATACCATAATTTCACTAAAGTCATTATGAACTTTTTTATCATTAATAAATTTATATAAATGATTAAATTATCTTTATTAAAAATAAAATGATCATAAATTTTGTTTAAATAATCACAATTTTTTTTGTTATATTCACAACAATATGACATCAAATTACCACTTCATATCTCAAATTCCTAATATTGCTACAAATGTTGGAAATAACAAATAATGATCACA